GAGGAATAATTTATATGTTGTCTAAAATGCTGGTCTAAATACTTCTCAAAAAGAAGATTTCCAAACCACGGAGAACATTTGGGATCCCTCTAGATGGGTGTTTGTTGGGAGGTGTACTGTGTCATTGACACAAGAACAGAGTATTAGTGGTGGATTTAAACAGGACAGTCTACACACCATTCGCCTTTATTAGCCGCTCTGCATTGCTTCCCCAATGCTACTGCGTCACTGCTGTCCAGAAGGGCACTCTGCCGCAAAAGCGGGGCACCCCACCCCAATATGTGCAGTATTAAAAGTTACAGGATTTCAGTGGGAAGTTACAGGGCATGTACTGACGGAAAATGAAACAGGATGTCCACCCTGGAGCTTTTGCAGGTACAAACTGTATTGAAAGCAGGATAACATGTAACCATCCTGATATCATCATGAGCACAAAACTTCATGAATGCACAGTAAAAAGGCACCGGGAGCTGAGCTGAGAAGAGAACTCAGGAGTCCAGGCCCCTAGAAGAGCACTGCTGAGGAATGAATGCAAATTATGGGGAGCCAGGAGGTGGCAAGTCACTTTTCAGACTATTATCTCATTACATAAGGAAGTCATTCACCCCTCTGTGCCTGTGGAAAGGAGATAAAATACTTAATGCCTGTTCAAAGCTGTCAGGATTATACAAAGCTAAGTAGAGTTATTATCCTGCTTTAACCTCTGGAACTGCCCTAACTTTTCAAAAGACAGAAAGGAAACTTAGGGTCTGTTTGGACCTTACTCACCCCACCCCACAACCCTTCCATGAGGCAAGGTGAGGAGGTCTCCTCAGAAATGGATTTTGAGGGCATTTAAGGGCAGGGTGGAGGACAGACATACCTGATTCTGAAGAGCAACGTCTTCTGAAAGGATATATATATTCCATGCAATAAAAACATACCCCCAACTTCTCATTGGTTGGGCTACTTCTCTTAAACTACTGTATGTTACTGTCTTCTCTTAAACTACTGCATGTTACTGTCAGGGCCATTGCGAAATGCAGTGTTCCACTTCAGCTCCGTCCAAGAAGGAAGGGCTTCATGTACTTGAGTATTAATGAGCAGCCCTTTCCTTCACAGTAACAGAAGTAGACAGTCCACTGCAAAAGTCTAAGAATGCCCTAGAGCAACTATTATGCTTAACATTTCCCGACAAGCTAATAATTGAGGCACAGCAACTGTGTATTGTGGGGGGCAGGGCTTTAGAGCAACGGGGTGGCAGGTACAGCCAGGAGCCTTAGTGAAAGGCCAGGATGCTCATGTTCATGTTGTTTTGTAGCCATGAATTGGCCAGGCACTGCTAAGCATACAAGTGACTGGTTTCACCTGCAGCTCCATTTGGGGTCAGGCAAAAGAAGAACTAGATGTGCCAATGAGCTGAGACCATTTGGCAAGACTTTTGGTCTCAGGGTAGGTGAGATAAAGTGGACATGAATGGAGAGAAAAGGAGGGAAGCTTACTCTTTGATAATAGGTAAAGGTAAAGGTACCCCTGCCCATACGGGCCAGTCTTGCCAGACTCTAGGATTGTGTGCTCATCTCACTCTAGAGGCCAGGAGCCAGTGCTGTCCGCAGACACTTCTGGGTCACGTGGCCAGCGTGACAAGCTGCATCTGGCGAGCCAGCGCAGCACACGGAACGCCGTTTACTCTTCCCGCTGGTAAGCAGTCCCTATTTATCTACTTGCACCCGGGGGTGCTTTCGAACTGCTAGCCTCTTTGATAATAACACACACACAAAAGATCTTCAGTCACTCAACAGCCCTCATTTAGGTGAACTGGCACGTGGAAACGAGCAGGAGTCACTGAGAGGGGATAAACTGTAAGGTTGTGGTCCTGTATACTTCGGAAGAAGCCCATTGACTCATAGAACTTAGAATGGTAGAGTTGGAAGGGACCCCAAGGGATCTCTAGTCCAACCCTTGTCTTGTAATGCAGGAATCTCACCTAAAGCATCCATGACAGATGGTCATCCAACCTCCAAGGAAGGAGAGTCCACAACCTCCCGAGGGAGACCGTTCCACTGCCAAATAGCTTTCACAGTAAACATGCACAAGTCTGGGCTGAAAATCAGTGCCTCCTTTTGTAAGTGAGGGTCACAAGGCCTTATTCAAACCAACTCTCAAACCCCTCTAGTTCTCTCCTCCTCTGGGCCTGGCCTTGATCTCCTGAGGCCCTTGTGAGCTCTCATGCTGGCTTGGGTGGGAGTGAGCAGGATGGGGTGGAAGCAGCCTGTGCGCAGAGGAAGCCATGGGAGTTCATCTCACCCCTCTGCTTCCGCTTCCCTTTGCTGGGACTTGAACTCTTGACCCCATGAATGGATGGCTGGATGCCTTTCCTCTCCCAAGCAATGTGCAAAGGAAAAGGCAATCTTTGGAAATTTCTACCCCACCTCCCAAAGAAGGAAATGGGCCCCATGAAGAGTGGCAAGTTTCAGAAAGGAGATGAGGCCTTTGTGTAGTTACAGATGCTTTGGGGTTTCTCATCTGGGCCACTCCCTTCCAGCAACTGTTCCCCATCAGATCTGCTGCTTAAGTCGGCTCCCACAAGAGGACATGTGTGGAAATGTGGAGATGAGCAATGCTTTAAATATCCAAGGGATGCACGGAATGTAGCACTTCCTATGAGCCATAAGCTGATCTAGCAACCCTAAAGTTGTAGCTTCTGCTCAGGTCCTCCGTAAAGCTGCCAAGTGCCCTTTTAGTTCCCCCAAACAAGAATAACAGCAACACCTTCAGAAACACACATAGCCCCTGGCAGCCCTGTCCCTTTTCACTTCAATCTGTCTATCAGATCTGTAGGACTACAAGCAAACCTTTTGGCTAGGAAATTCCTGCGTGCACAACCACCACCTACCGCACTATTAAGGAACTATGGAAGACACCCCCCTCCCTGCAAATGTTTCTTACACCAGCTGGTATTTCTCCCCGTCTCCATGCTTCTCTGTTCATACGTCAGGGATGGTGGTCTTGGCATAGCCGGTGCCACAACTGGTGTGCGGGCTGCTGTCTCCAGTACCAAACACCACCGGCTGGGCAGTCCATCATGATGACCAGCCATGAGAAGGCCTTAAGGAGGAGGTCTTAATCATGCAATCTCCCCTTCCCTGAGGGAGGGAAATGGGGTGAGATGGGCTTCTGTGGAGGAGACCCTGCCTCATATGTTCTTGGGAGGGGAAAGCAGTGATGGGGGGCTGCCTCCACCACCACCCAGACTCACTCTCTCCCCTCCTCAGGGCACATCCAGACTGGTGTTTTATCGCAGGTGGATGCAGCAAGATATCACTTACACATGAATAATGCCTTTGGCATGGACCATCCACACTTCATACGGCTTTATCCGTTGTTCTGTGCTGCTTTCCCCGTGTTCCTGCATTCTTGCACCTACACTTTAACGAAGTCCATGCTATTGTCTGTGTTCCCATCTTCTCCCATATCCTCTCTGAGTGCAGGATGCCATGACACCCTACTTTTATTTCTGCACTTTTGAAGTGTTTATGCTCAGGCTGTGACTGCAGTGCTGAGCCATAGCTTGTTACCACTACAGGATGCCACAGTATTTGGCATCAGCAGGAAGTATGTGGGAGGGGTTATATCACACAGAGGCAGATACAGCACATTTCTGCACATTGCCAAGGCACTCCTGCACTACTACAAGCAGAGCATTTGTTGTATAGGAACAGGTATGGATTTCAGCAGGAAACTACGGTGCACGCACTAAGTGCAGCTGACTGCCCCCAAACTGCCCCAAACCTTTTGCAGGTGGAAATGGAATGGGAAACGTTATTGTGCATAACTTGCCCCGATAGCATCCTGAGCACAAATCATGATGAACACAGCAAGGACATCTGGAGGGGCCCTGAGATGTATGTGCTGATCAGGGCAAGGATTTGCCACTTCAAGTAGAATGCAGTCTAAGACACCATTCAAATGCTCTGGCGTGCACGGTCAACGACATGATTCTCACAGCATGACTGCTGGACTATCATCATGGCACACTATGACTGAGGATGGCATGCTCATTTCATGGTGATTGGATTGAAAAGTTAGTACAGGAGCTGGAGAAGGGAGACAGGCTGGCAAGCAAGAGATTATGGCAGCAGTCTCTGCATAGGGAACAGCCTCTGGGCTAAATCCTCCAAATTCCATTATTCTAACACTTTTTACACTAGAGATCTGCTCCTGCAGCAGCTGCCAGAGATTTGGGTGGGTATTCCAAATCACTTTGTTCTTGCCTTGAAACTGTTTTTGGGGCCATGTGTGCCTTCCACCTCTGCCCGTTCTCTTGTCCTTCTGCTCCCCTTTCTGATGTTCCTCTGGAGTACTCCCACCTTCCAGCCTTCCTTTCCAAGTCCTCTGTGCTTCCTTAGGCTTGCTGAAATTGCAGTCTGTGCCTCCTGTTTTCCTAAACTCTTACTACTACTGCCCCACAGTAGAGGATCCTCTGCCTGTTCCAAGCACACCCCGGCAACAGGATAGACATTGGGTTGGTGAAGCCAGTCAATGTCAGAGACGACGTTGTCATCAGTCCCACCACCAACTCCCTCAGTGCATCACAATATGATGCCCGTGGTATCAGTTTTAAGTTGCACCATGTTCTCATTCTAAACAATGTGGTCTGAAATAGACACTTCTGTCCCCCTTCTTTTTTCCCAAAGCACACATTTCTCAACATGCAGACACTCTGTTTGGACAGGGGAGGCTAGGAAGGAGCTGGCATTCTAATTGGGAAAAGGCTGTGAGCAGAGTGGAAGCACTGGGAGAGAGAGAAAAAGAGAAGGGGACTTCCCAGATAACAGCATGTTTCACTGCACAGCCATGTTTCTGATTTAGCAGCAAGCATCCCCTGGAAACATTCAGGTCTGAGTATGGCAGGCACTTGCAATAATTAGTGCCTCCAGAGACATCTAGCCACACTTCTTCCAGGATCTCTTCAGCAAGTCATCCTCCCTCCCATTCTTACTGAACAAGGACAAACTCACCGTCCTCTGGCTGTGGTGTCAGGAAAGGAACGCACAACAGCTACCAAATTGTGATGGTGCTGTGAGACATGGCAGAGGGACCTGCACAATTCTGGCAGCTGCAAAAGAAAAGGATGTCTCAGTTGTGAAGTTGCCGGGGAGGTGGGTTGAGATGGTTACTTATGGGGAGAAGGAGGAGACGGAGTGGGTGGGTGATGTTTCAAGATGAACATCTGCAGGCTATGCCTGCAAGCTTCCCATAAACCAGGGCAGGGAACCTCAGGCCTCAGGCCTCTCTAGCTGGCCCTTTGAACTCTCCCTGAGACATGTCCTTCCCCAGGCCACACCCCTCACAGGGTCCTGCTGTATCCCCTCCTCCAGTGCTTTTGCCTGGCAGGAATGTGCCCTTGAACTGCCACAATGCATGTTGCTTGCCTGGGTAGAGAATAAAGAAATGCAACAAGCATCTGATTGGCCTCTGTGAGGAACAGGACGCTAAACTAGATGGATCTTTGGCCATCTCTGGCAGCACTCTAAAGTTCTTGTGGAGCCTGATGTCTGCTCAGCTGCATGGTGACATGCAAGCAACATGGAGCCAACCTGATGCTCGGTGTACCTCTTATGTCCTTTGCTCACTAACTCTCAGCTGATATTAAACTAGCCTGAGTTTCTCCCTGTTGCACAGTTATACCCCTCTAACCAACAGCTGGTATTAAATCCTGGGGACTCTTTCCCCATGAAGGGTGTTCAGGGCCAGACTGCAGCTGGAAGGGGGCGTTGGAGATCTGATCTGGAGCAGTCTCAGCACAGTGCCTGCCTCCACCCAGCAGGCTGCTGCGACCCCAGCCTAGCCAAGCATGTCAGCTCCAGACAGAAGAATACAAATGCCAGCAGCTCTGTCAGGCTCTGCAGGGAATTGCCGAACCGAAGCTCGAGCCAGAGGTTCATTAAGCCTTGCAATTAATTAAGCAGCTGAATGGAAGATGCTGCTGGCTGTGTTGCAGAAAGAGGCAGAGGACAAGCATGAATCAGCAGGGCTCCAATGGAGGGGAACCCTATTGCTGCAGCAGGTTTCTGAAGACAAGAAGAAGGTACACATGGATTGTAGGAAGAAGCAGTGCCTATGGGCAGGGACTCTCCAGGGTTAACCTTACTGTGCAGTGTTGCACACTGAAAAGCTCTGCTCTTGTTGTTGCTGCTGCTGTTATCCACAACCAGGACAATGTGTAGACCCCCAACATGAAAACCAATCTTCCAAAATCTAAGCCCCAAATAAATCATGTATCTTGAGCAAATATGCATACACTTCCTTATATCGTATCACTTATTCAGACTGCTTGACCCACATTTGTTTCCCCCCTCCCCAAAAAGTAGTATTATTTTAAGCCAAAGATTAGAAGAATGGAAGAGTGTGGATATTGTGAATTGGCACAGGAGCAGAAATCATGAAAAAGAAACCACCGGGCATTCCACTCCTGTTCTGTATACTCAAAGTTATTATTATTCAAGAACATGTAGGCACCAAAAGAACAGGTAACAGAGAACAAGTAATGCAGAGTTACAGAATAAAATAATACTCTGAAGGTGCAGAATTTTTAGTGGTAAATTCTTCCTTCTAAGGCTATAGTATTAATATACTGCCAATGTGCCTTCAGCCACAACTGGTGGAACCAGGCATGCGGCATCCTTTCCTTAGGGCTGAGTTTTCTTGAACAGCAAACAGAAGTAGAAAGCATTGCAGAATGTAGCACCCAGCAAAAATTCATTACATATGTGTGGTGTGTTGGGGGCAGAGGGAAACCACCATCCACACAATGTGTTTCAGTGCATCCATGGTGAGGTAACATGAGATTTTTATATTGGATTTTCTTCCCTTAATAGATTATCTGTGGATCAGGAAGATTTGAATTAATTGAGAGTAAGGGCCAGCTGCCAGTTGGATGAGGATGTTGTGCGGAAGCTGCAATAAAACTGAGACACAAGCAGTTTCGGATTTGCAGAACTGGCCCACCCATGGGGCAGGGTGATGCACATGCCTCAGGCGACAGAAGTGCAAGAGGCGGCAGGGGAGCAGGAAGATGTCATTCCCGTTTCAAACAGGACAGGCCACCCCTGCGAATAGGCATTAAACATCCTGTGTGGACAAGACTGCTAACTAAAGTGGATTATAATTTTCATTCCATTTGATAAAAAACAACAGGAAGTCTGTGCAAGAGAGAATCTGTCTCCTTTCCCACACTTGGGCAGGAAAATTGGTAATGAGCTTAAACCAGTGATATTTTAGTTGTGCATTGTGACTGAAATCTGCCAATCCCACCCTGCCCTGACAGGAAAGACTGGCAACTCTTTTACCGCTCCTTTGTCTTTGACAGCAGCCTGGCAGACAGAAATTCAGCAGGTTATCTGGACATGGGAAAGCTTTTCTGGACATGGGAAAGTCTGACATGGAAATGTTAAAGACACACAAGCAGAGTCAGCAAAAACGGGGAGGCAACTCTGTTCACAGGTGTACTAACTGGAGAGGTCACTACCTTTTCTGACCAGTCCTGGATGCCTTCAAACAGCACCACCAGCAGTTGCTGAAGCCCTGTCTGTGGATGCTTCCGCAGGTTCTTGTCCAGGCCAAGCCGGCAGAGCAACACGAGGAGGGCCAAGCGCTGGCGGTCAGGGTAGGAGTGCGGATGGGACGCCACACACAATGTCAGGAACTAGGAAGGAAAGGAGAAACCCAAACAGTGTCAGGAGGATGTGGCAGGGTGAGAATGAGGCTTCCCCAAACCTGACCCACCAGGAATATCTTAAGAAGAGCTTCCCGGAGGTTCTCCAACACCAGTTGGATAAGGCATACAGATTAATTTGGCACGCATTCATGGCTAGCCGGCAGGCAGGCATCCAAGCTCCCAGATCAATCCTACTTCTAACTGCAACCTGCCACAGCACAGTGATCAGCGTGGCCTGAAGCACTGAGCACTGGCTTGGGACCCAGCAAGATCCATGTCTGAGGACCACCTCTAATGTGAATTTGTGCCACTATCTCTCACTATTAGTTCCCCTCTATAATGTGGAAAGAACAAGTCACCTAACACAACAAAGATAGAGAAGCACTTTGTAGATTAGAAGTGCCAGATGGGTGAAAAAGTCTAGCAGCAACACAGACGATAATACTGTGTTTTTAGAGCAATAGCCTGGAGATGGGCAGTGTCTCCCAGGGCGTTTTCAGGAGAGCTATGAGAACGCAACACAGAACATGCCAAGTAAGCCAGACACAGGGCTTATCCACACTTACTTTTAGTTCCACTCTTTGCAGGCACAGGTCCTTGCTTTACCAAGCGTTGGTTTTTTGCCCTAAATTCTCCCTGCAAAACCCCACTCTTTAAAGCTGAATCCGAGCAAATGTCAATTTGGGCTTTCCATGGATTGACATTTGCTCTGATTGAGCTTTAAAGAGCAGGTTTCCGTGAAGCAATAAAACACAGTGCTCAGATACGGAGCTTAAAAGTGCAGAGCATGCCTGGAAAGAGCAGAGGAAAAGTAAGTGCGAATAAGTCTGAAGTCCTATCTGTAGAAGTCCGCTTCAGACTGATTATTAAGGGGCTCCTTTGCTGGTCTCCTTGTAGTTTCTACCCAGGAGTTAGGAACCTTTTTCAGCCTAAGGGCTGCATTATCTCTTTCTCTCCCTTATATATAATTTCTCCCCCCACCACGTATATACAATATTAATTTGAGAGAACAAAAGAGAAGTAATAAAAAAGTATAATAATGGAAACTTATAGTACATATTGCTTTCTTGATCTACATAAAGCCTCTGTATAATTATACAGAAATGCATTATCATATACCTAATAAAATGTGTGGATTTGCTTTTTCCTGTACTTTATTACACCAATACATTATAAATGCACTCCATTTTTCTATAAAACAATAATAAGATTGCCTGCCTGCTCTGACTTTGACTAAGTAAGTTAATTTGATCATATTTACAATGTCCCACACTGATTATCCAACAAAGGGGTCCTTATTTCCCCCCAATTATGACTTATGGTTATATGAGCATATGCATAATAAACTAAAAACCAGTCTTTTATCATCTGTTATAACATGGTCTTTAATATATCCACAAAGGATAACCAATGGATCTACTAAAAGTGTATGCAGTGGTACCTCGGGTTACAGACGCTTCAGGTTACAGACTCCGCTAACCCAGAAATAGTACCTCGGGTTAAGAACTTTGCTTCAGGATGAGAACAGAAATCAGCTGAAGGCTCCATTAGCTAAAGTGGTGCTTCAGGTTAACAACAATTTCAGGTTAAGAATGGACCTCCAGAACGAATTAAGTTCTTAACCTGAGGTACCACTGTACCCTGTGACTGTTTCTATTTCTTTTATCATCGCCCAACAGAATTTCTTTATTTTTGGACAAGTCCAGAAAATACATTGTATATCAGCCTTATTTGTTTTACAATGGCAGCCTATATTGCTTGTTGTTCTGTATATATGACTATGTTGTTCTGACATCAGATACGATCACATACTATCATTAAGATTAACAGATACGGTTTGTTGAGGGATATTTAACCATTCTTTTTGGAGTGCCGAATGCTAGTGGGGATGGGCGTAGTGGGCGGTGCAACAAAAGGTTAGTTGCACCTTTATATGGTGGTATTATTAATATTATTGTTGTTTGTTTGTTTGTTATTTTATATTGCATCCTTCACCAGCAGGTCTCAGGGCAGGTCACAATTTTAATTTCAGTATTAAAAACAGGTAAAACAAATTGCAAACAGGAATAGCAGCAAAACTGCCCCCCCTCCAAAAATAAGGGCTTTTGCTGTAAGGAAAGTAACAGGAAAATGCACTGGAAAGTGTAGGATAAAACTTGACACAACGTTGTAAACAAATCAGAATGCTCAATAAATAGCAGGTGTTATCTAACCTCCATGAAACTTTGTGCAAGGAAATCAGGATGAATGCTCAATAAACAGGCTGTTTATTGGGTTTTGAGGCGGTAGCTTTAACCCTAGGTTTGAGGAGCAATTAGTGTGTGGGGCACTGCAAAACAGGGGGTTTTCACTGCAAAATGCTGCCAAACTGTTGCCAAACTTTGGCACCGGTTTGGAGTAAATCAGACAATGTTGGATTTTGGGGTGTTAACCACTGACCTCATGTTTGATGTGTCAATTACTCAATTTGTGAGGTGGTGCAAAACGTGGGGTTTTCCTTGAAAAATGCTGCAAAGCAACTACAAAACTTTGGCACAGGTTTGGAGGGGATCCAAAATTTTGGAGTTTGACGTTAATTATCCTGTCTGGAAGCAGGCCTTACGCCCCTGGATCTATTTCTGCTTTGACTCTGACATGGACCAGACCAGCCTTGCCTCCAGCCTGAACTCAACATTCTGCTAACCCCCGTTACCTGCTCTGATTGCAAAGACTGAGACCATCTACATGACTCAGGCTGGCTGGTATCATTGGAGACAGACAGTATGCATGACATGCATGTCATACATGTATGACAAGCATTGAGAAATGTTGATCACAGACGATTGCAGTAAAGCTTAAGCTGCCGTCTATCTGAATGTGTCCTCTGGCAGAAGAAGAGAATCAGATGCATAATACAAGGAGAAAGAACTAGTGGTTCTCTCCCTTGCTGAGGAGGAGCGGAGGTAACAAGAGGCAGCCTACGTCTCTGTGCTGAAGGCTGTAGTGGAACTGGCCAAGATGAAAGGAAGGATGGAAATCCAAAGCAGTATCTTGCTGAATTATTCTAGTCGGGGAATGAAGTTGTTGGTCTAAGTAGTTACAGAAGGAAGTGGTGGACAGGTTCTAGCACAGGGATAGGCAAACTAAGGCCCGTGGGCCAGATCTAGCCCAATTGCCTTCTCAGTCCGGCCCATGGACGGTCTGGGAATCAGTGTGTTTTTACATGAGTAGAATGTGTCCTTTTATTTAAAATGCATCTCTGGGTTATTTGTGAGGCCTGCCTGGTGTTTTTACATGAGTAGAATGTGTGCTTTTATTTAAAATGCATCTCTGGGTTATTTGTGGGGCATAGGAATTTGTTCATTCCTCCCCCTCCAAAATATAGACCGGCCCCCCACAAGGTCTGAGGGACAGTGGACCGGCCCCCTGCTGAAAAAGTCTGCTGACCCCTGTTCTAGCACTTCATTGCTGCCAATTCTCAAGCAGATTAACACCCGCTTTGTGACTTGGTTTCCCCTCTGATGCAAAAAGCAATATCTGTCCAGCATATCTGAAGTGTTCAACAGTAAATCTGAGGAGCTCCAGGAGCTATTTAGTTGGGGGACTGTATGACCTGGCGATGGAGGAGCCTGAACTAGAGACCTGCTCTGTGTCTTCATCTCTTGCCTGGGGAAGACAGATGCTCCCCCCACTGAAAGAACATGCTGCTCCTTTACTAGTGTAAACCTTAGGACGTCCTCCTTACTTCAGTCCCAAGAGCCAGAACAGCCACAGGAAGGGTGGATTAAGGGTTTGTCCCATAGGATCGTCAAACAAGCAGCTGTCTGGCTTGGCTAAGTGTCAGCATTGGCCATGCCAGTTATTGACCCATTTTCACCTCCGCAAGGCCAGACCAAAGGAAGAGCGGTTTCTGTGCAGCTTTCCATTTAGAGCCCCCAGGAAGGGGCAGGCTCTTTGTGTCCAGGCATGACTGCTTGTCTGTTGCAAGAGACAGAAGATGGTGATTCTTTCCCCTTATGCTGGCCATGGGTGCTCTGCGGCCAAGCAGGTCTTAAAACTCTGCACAAAAGCATGCTCAAATTCCCAATCTAAAGGATTCAGATTGGGAAAACCCACACGTACCAGCTTGTTTTGCATCATTTATCATAATTCCAACATCCAGAGCCTTTGATGGTGTAGAGGAATGGTGCCTTTCCCTGAAGACGGTGCTTCTGTTGCAAGGTGTTATGTTCTCCCTAGCTATCAAGCCACATCTTTGTCCCTGGAAAAATGTTATCCACCCCCCTGCAAAAGAAACCTAGCACATCAGTTGCAGTTTTCTGCAAATGTAACTGCGCTGCTGTCACAGTTTCATAGCAACAAGAAAAATTGCATCCATGGAATGTCACCCTGCTTCACAGCCCTTGCATTTGATTTAGCAGCTCACTTTAAAAAGTTTTTAACCAAGCCCTGTTTCTGAGCAGTATGTCATGGAAAATTGGTCCTTGTTGCAAGCATTTTTCTTGGCACATCAGATTTCTGGGCTCACGCTGTCACACCAGGAATGCTTCTGTGTAACAAATAGCTCTGACACTTTAAGGCTGTGATGGTTTCAGCGGTGCTTTCCCCCATCACCACTTGAAAATCCTAATCCCCTGGGTAGGGGCATCACAATTAGCTGCCACAGAGATGATTGTGGTGTGTGACAAACAGCGGATTAGGAGGATGTCAGGCAGAGGAGCAGGCCGTTGCAGGGAGGCCAGAGGAGCTAATCCACACACAAGGTGAATGAAACCAGATTAGCTAACATCAGAACCAGATTGTGGAAATACAGTAAATGCCAGTCAAAACCTTATTTCCAGGCCTAGCTCAGTCTTCCCCAACCTGGTGCCCTCCAGATGTTTTGGACTACAATGCCCAACAGCTCCAGCCAATGGTCAGGGCTGACAGGAGTTGCACTCCAAAACATGTTGAGGGCGCCTAGGCTTTGGGTCTTTGCTATTAAATAGGGCCTCCTCATCCAGAATCTGGGGCAGTCACATGGCTTGTCTTTGACAAAAAAGGCTTTCTGGAACCGATCACATTCTGGGCCTCCCAGCAGATCATGTGTAATGTTAGTTTCCAGAACCTGCTTTAGATAATCTAAACCCCTTGTGTCTCAGCCAGAAAATGGTGGTTGCATATGAAGAGACACAGGAGCAGGTGTAGGTTTTGATGCTGCCGGTGAGTTGTGTTACCTTCACTCCTCACATGTACAGCCTTCAAATCAAACCATGACCACCTCTTCCACTGCGCCTGTCTCCCCACGATTCAGATAAGCTGTTTGTTTTATCCCCCATCCCCCCCTCTGTGAGTACCCTGCATGAAACTCTTCTTTGGTGGTTTGTTTGTTTTAAAAACCAAACAGCTTTTTTAACCCCAGAAAAACTGCTCTGAGAAGAGTGCTGGCACCAGGGCCTGCCAATCCACCCTGTACAAACCCAGTTTCCATTGCAGACTGGAAAAACAGGCTTCTCCTAAATTCAGTCTGGAGGAAGAGATTGGGACATGTGCCCAAAATGCAGTGGGCATGTTTTCATGCTGGGTAGCTATGTCTGGATGCACCGGGTGTTTTGCTTGACGCTTACCTTAAATATATCTCCAAGCACTGATGTCAAGGTGAGCTGCCAAGATGCTCCCTCAGGAAGGCTCTCGCTCTCGGTGTCTGCGGAGCCAGGAAGGTGTTCAGAAACCCTTGAGGCAAGAGGAACAAGGAGGAGGTCAGCAGGGGGAGACCAAGGGCAACCCTGGATGCTATAGCACCAGGCCTGGAGTCCCGAGGCTGAAGACCTTGGGAATGCCAAACTGAACAGCGTCTGATCACGAGAAATGAAACCTCACTCTCTTACTTATCCACGCAACGAAAGCAGAACATTGTTTAAAATTTAGCATGGATAAAAAGATTGTTTATAAATGTATAACCTTTAATAAGTTTACAAAAGTATGAGATTAATGAACACATTAACACAGAACATTCATAGGAGAATCATAGGTATGTTATTATAACATTACACTATACACAGAACAGTTTCTTTCAAGCTCTTTTGGATGCAAACATCAATTATATCATTAAAATCCATAAGTCACAGTTTACCATTCTCTATGCAGAGAATGCTTTGTTCAGAAAACTGATCTTGGGACATTGGTGACCATAGATCATTCTTTATCTTTTCTATATTTTTTTCTTTTCTTTTCTTTTTTAAATAATATTTATTAAAAGTTTAAAGATTACAGAAAAAAGAAAAAAGAGAAAACAACAAAAAGATTCAACAAAACTCACACTACAATACATAAAAAAGAAAGAAAAAAGAAAAAAAGTACATAAAAACCAATACAACAATACAACAACAACAACAAAAGCACAGATCCCATATTCCATATCTTTATCTTTCATTTGCTTGTTTCATTGACCTCCTCACACCTCCCTTTTTGTGTTCTAGTTTAATTGTTTCAGCAAATTCTTTCCATCTTTCCCAATTTTTATTAAGTAATTTATCTTAACAGTCTAACCTATTAATTAACTCAGCAGATCCTTTCCATCTTTCACTATATTCTGTTATTCAATTTGCCTTAATTTATTTAACCTTATCTTACCATAAAATACCTTAAAGCTTAAAACTTAATACTTATTTATGCATAACTCCTTATATCATTTCTACTAAAGCCAGATAGTTTCATTCCAACATTTTCCCTAATATTCATTAATTTTACACTAATTCCCAAAATAAATTTTTTTCTTTATAAACTTTCTTCCAATCTTCATCCAACGTCTCTTCTTCCTGGTCTCGGGTTATGTCAGTCCTTACTGTCCATTCCATCTAGTCCATCAACCTGGTAATCTTATGTCCGAGGCTCTTAAGTCTTTTCCATGTCCCTTCTGCAGATCTTCTTCTTCTTGTTTATACCTGCACTTTTCCTTGTCTTTTGTTGATCTCTTTCTTAATTTCTTTCCTTTCTCATTGAGGAGTAGGTCTCTGGGAGATTCCAACCCAAAATTATCTCCATCTCCCCTCATCAGACCAGCCCATTCCCCACAGTCCCACTCCCCACAGTCAACAGTATAATCCAAAAAATATTTAAAAGCATGTTTCAAAGTCCCTCCGAGATTAAGAGCCCCCACAGCTCCAGACTCCCCCTGGCCCACTCCAAATTCAATCTTCAAAAACAGCGGCTTATGCTCCTGCAGGGCCTCGGGTCTCTCCATTTGTATTACTTGAGGTGCAACCGCAACCTCCTCCATTATCTTCTGCACTTGCACTTGCCCTGTCAAAACAGGTTCCTGAGTTGGTCCCTGAATGGTTTCTGTATAAGTATTCACTGTTTGTACGAAGTTACTGACTACAACAGTCATCAAATCCATCTTCTCAGTCATCAAATCCATCTTCTCATGCATCTGCTCCAACAAAGCACTTGTCTTGCAAAAAGCAAGCACCAAAACTTCCTCCAAACACATTTTTATTCAAGGTCAAGAGACTGGTCCCACGATCTTAATCTCACAGCTGTAAAATCCCCAAGTAGACTGCAGCAACAATTTAACAAGCTCCCTCTAGAGGAGATAATTTCTATTTGTATCCATCTTTTAAAGCAAGTCCAACAAAGGAAAGTTACTTTCATTTTTCAAATATTTTGTTTCTTTTGAATGCAAAAGGCAACATTGGAATCAGTTTGTTTCTCTTTTTTAGCTATCTGTCAAAAATGTTCCATTCACAGTCAATGAACATCCCCAAAAATTTCTGTCTCTGACACCCCGTTCCCAGGTTTGAGAGGGTGGAAACTTATCTTTCTTTACTCTCTCTCCTGCAGGCTTGAACAGTCAAAGTTCCCCCCCTTTTCTCCTGCTTCCAAGGGGGTTTTGGTGGTTATAAATGAAGGAAATTTAGACCTTTATAAACGACTTTCCAGACTTTAGCTTGCAAGGTTTTTGCTTCAGTCTATTTACAAAAGCGGAAGGCAGACTCCCTGTTTTGAACCTTCCCGCTTCGGTGCCAAATTAAGATGTTTCTTAATCCAATTTTCCGTTTCTACTCACGGGTACTTGTTTAGAGTCCAATTGTCCACAGGAAAAAGTCAGCGCTCTCCGGCAACTGCTGTGCGGCTTCACTCCGTAAAAGTAGCAGTCGATTCAAAACACCGCGCCGCTCACCCCACGTCGCTTCGGAACCCCGAAAAAGGGTTTCCCTGCGAGTAGGGGAGGCGCTCCTGGTGTCAGCCGAATCCCACGTTCCCAGGCTTCCTCCGCCTGGGATTTTTAAAGGGTCTCCGCCTTCGCCGTGGCGGCAAGACCCGATTTTCACGGAGCAGGTTCCTCCCGGTCAGAGGAACTCCGCCATTGCCGATGGCGCTAACCCGGAAGTCCCATTCTTTATCTTTTCTAGTCTAAAAAAATGATCATTCACCAGTACAGTTTGCAACCATTAAGCATGGGAACCATCTGAAAATTGTTTCCAAAGGTGAGAGCCGAGCGCAGGGTGCGGACCAAAGGTGGAAGAACTACCCCAAGAGTAGCATGATGTGTCCCACACCAGAGGTGCTGCCCGTCCCCCAACACCCCATTTTTTTGGTAACAAATTGGGTGCCACTACTGATAACTTGATAAAAGTCCTGCAGGTGTCAACACAAAATGGCTGGTCTTGGACAGCAAAAAAGAAAAAAAAGAGGTGACTATTCTCCATACCAGTGAGGACTGTCACAAAAAAGCACTGTTTGCAACTCTTTCTTTCCATTGGGACTGAGTAAACTCAACTGGACGGAGCTGGAATAATTGTGCTTTTTCAGAGTCTCCCCCCTCCTCTCCCCTCCCCACACGAAACCACTTGAGTCTGGCATGTTGCCAGCTGCTGTTTTGAGAAATAACTTCATTCTAACCCAGGGAGTGGAGGGCTTCCAACACACACTTTCATCATGGCAACGTGGAGCAAAAGGCGATTTCACACTCTGCTCCAGATTTCTGCTCAGCAAATCTAACTTCGGGGGGGGGAGACCTCACTTCTCAGCCCCCACCCTTCATTCCCATTAGAAACCTTCAATTTCAAGGCTCAATTTCTCAGCCATCTCATATTGCTCTGGGCTGAAACTGAACATGCAGGATCAGGCGGCAGCTCTGATTCCACCCGCCTTTTATTCTCTTTTATTTATTTCTTCCTCTTCTTCATAACTGAAAGTGATTTTTTAAAATGCCTCTTTTTATTATTAGAAGGCTTTTAGCTCAAAAGTTTGACCTACATTGAAGACTGTATAATTTAATCAGGATGAAAGAAAGTTCTCTCGTTTCTTAATACCACATTTTTAACTCTTACCATCCTGTTGATGAGAAATCTCTCTTTTTTTCTTTTCTTTTTTATTAAGTTCTTTTTTAAGACAAAAACATACAGAGTGGGGGAACAAAAACATACAAACGAACAACAAAGTAAAGAAAAGAAAAAAGACAAAGCAACACATAAAACAAAGAAAACAAACGAGAAACAAACCAACATCAATTCATAACGTAACATTGATTGACTTCCCTCCATCTCGGCTTTGGGCTATGTGACCACAATACCTTTCTGCACTATCATTTTACAACCTCTATCTATACGTTGCAAGCTTTATGTTACACCTACTGTGATTTTTATATTTCCTAAATGTGCTTCTATGTATGTTATGAATTTCTTCCAATCGTTAATAAATTTTACACTTTTTTGATGCCTGATTTTTTGTGTCATCTTTGCTAATTCTATATACTCGCATAATTTAATTTGCCATTCTCTAACAGTTGGGATATTAGGAGTTTTCCAATTTTGCGCTAGCAATATCCTGGCAGCTACCGTTGCGTATTGGAACATTGTTTGGTCTTCTTTCTTGATTTCCTCTCCGACCATTCCCAGGAGGAAGGCTTCGGGTTTTTGGGGGAAAGTATATTTCAAATTTTTTTTTAATTCATCATAAATAAGTCCCCAAAACCTTTTCACTTCTTCACAGGTCCACCACATGTGGTGGAAATCACCCTCTTTTGTTTTGCATTTCCAGCATGTTTTGTCTCCGGTCTTATACATTTTTTCCAATTTCACAGGAGTGATGTACCATCGGTACATCATTTCCCCCATATTTTCTCGGAGTCCAACACATGCTGTGAACTTCATATCCTTGTTCCAAAGTTTCACCCACCTATCGTAATCTAGGTTGTATCCAAGATCTATGGCCCATTTGACCATAACTTCCTTTATCTGTTGATGAGAAATCTCATAAAAACAAGCACTGTTCTTGAATTTCCTTGGGGGGGGGGGGACGACACACAGCAGCACCATCTTTAACTCTTTCTTTATTCCAAAGCACAGGCATTTTCACACAAGGCTTAAATGTGTAGGCAATACGAATCTAAACTCAACTTTGGCTGAAAGGTAGAATCTGTCTGCCTGTGACATAGCCAAATTATCATTATGGAATTGGACTTCCCTATTTTCATCGGAGAAATGTTGGAGGGTATGTAATAACAGGGAATTTTGCAAATTTGACATAAAAATGGCCCTCCACTTTCCTGTCTGCACCAGCCACATTCACGCAGTGAAAATATAACTAGGGCTGCACAGTGTTTCTTATGCATACTCTGTGCGTCTAATTCTGGAATGTTCCCCAGCAACTCTTGTGTGATTGGTTAACTCTAGTCACATGGGAGGTATCTCATTATCCCTTTTGTTTTGTGGGTGAGTGACTTGGCT